CGTTGGGTGCGTTTGTGTTTCGACGTCGCTCCGGGAGGACGGAGCTTTGAGGAAGTAAAACCGAAGGAACGGGGTTGTTGTGTTGTCGCTGACTCCATCTTCTCGCTGCTCCCCTCCGAGCCCTCTCTGGGCGGGCCAGGCTGTACGGAGCAGCCCGTCCTCGGGCGCTGCTGGCCGTCAGCTCGACGAAAAGAGGAATTTATTTTTATTTTTGCTTTTTAAGGGGCTGGAAAACACAGGTTTGGGCCAACAGCCGCTTGCCCAGGCTGGGTGTCAGCCTCCCCCAGGGAGGGTTTCTTGGGCAGGGTGGGACACGCGTTGAGCCAAGGCGCGCGTCCCGATGCGTCCCTGCCTGCCGGTGTCCGCACGGGCAGGGGTTGGCTCCGGCAGACTTCTCCCCCCCACCCCGAGGGAAGTTTCTGAGTCCTGGGGGTGGGATTCCTCCTCCTCCTCCTGGCAGGGGCTGGGGGCAGCGGGGCGAGTGGGGCGGGCTGCGGGGCGCTTGTCTGGGCAGGACCGGAGCCGTTGGCATCACCCGGTGTAGACACCCCGCCACGGGCACGCCGGGGAGGCCAGGTCAGGGATGTCATCACCGCTCTGCCGCCCTTACCAAACCGGATTCGTCACTAAGGGGTCAAGCACAGCTTTGGCTCCCAGCGTCCGTGCCGTGTTGCTCCGGCTCCCCGGTCCCAACCGAGCGGGATGGAGCTGCTGGTGGCCATCTCCTCCCTGGCCGCGCTTGTGGTGGCGCTGGGACAGCTTCGAAGCCCCGTGGGGTTCCTGGGACGGCTCGGTGGGGGCTCCCCACAACCTTTCGTGGGGTGAAAGGGGATGAAATGGCCGCTGGGGCTGTCGCCGCACAGCGTGAGGCTGCGTTCGATTGCAGAAAGAGGAAGGGGACCGGCGCGTGACGTGGGAGAGGAACCTGCGACGCGTGACGCTGCACAATCTGGAGCACTCCCTGGGGCTGCACTCCTACGAGCTGGGCATGAACCACCTGGGAGACATGGTAGGTGCCGGCCGTGCCGCTGAGAAGGGGCTCGTCTGTGTCTCTAATTACCCGTGCGGTTGATTTAACATGGAATATGAGTGGGCCCGGGGTGGGAAAACTCTCAAGAACCCTCCTCAGCCCATCCTCTTCTTGGGGAACCCAGCAGCCGTGGACAAACTGCTCAGACGTTGCCGTGCTCAACCTCCTGGCATGAAGCAATCTGGTGTGAGGAAATAACTCCTCCTTAACGTGGCGTTTGGGGTGCGCGGACCTGGTCCTGGTCACTGCTTGTATTTGCAAATCACCCCTCTCCAGCGTCTCAAGGCTGTTTAATGGAACGTGCCAGCTGCTAGGGATTGCTGGTGCTGGAGTTCAGCTTTGTATTTTCTTTCTCTTGCCCTTGGCCTGCCATCAAATGTAAGAAATAAAAAGCCAAAGACTCCACAAACCTCCTGACCCTCGCAGCTCAGACGCAAGGGAAATCCTCCCCCACCTCCATCACACCCAGCGTAGGACTTCGCAGAGACGAGGGGACCATGAGCCGGTGTTTTCTTTTCCCACCAGACCAGCGAGGAGGTGGCAGCTTTGTTAACTGGGCTGAACGTTGCCCCTCGGCCAAACCACACCTCCACGTACCGACCGCAGCCTGGCAGCAGGGTCCCGGACACGGTGGACTGGAGGGAGAAAGGATGCGTCACCGACGTGAAGAACCAGGTCTGGAGCTCTCGCTGTGCCCCCTCGCGTCTCGGTCCCGTGCTCGGTCTGAGCATCTCTGGGGCTTTTGCAGGGCGCCTGCGGGTCGTGCTGGGCGTTCAGTGCCGTGGGAGCCCTCGAAGCCCAGGTGAAGCTGAAGACGGGGAAGCTGGTGTCCCTGAGCACCCAGAACCTCGTCGACTGCTCCATGATGTACGGGAACAAAGGCTGTAGCGGAGGCTTCATGACCAACGCTTTCCAGTACATCATCGACAACCAAGGGATTGACTCGGATGAGTCCTACCCCTACACGGCTCAGGTAGGCATCGGACCTGACAGCACATGAAATCTGCAGAAAAACACGGGGGCATGGGAGCGACGCGGCCATTTGTTGGGCTCGACGGTGTAGGCTCCTTTTTCCCCCCCTCCTGACGATTTTTCTTCCCCATCTTGGTTTCTACCAGTCTTGCGTGTCTTGGTTCTACCGGTCTGGCGTCATCTTCTTGGCCTTGAGCTGATTCTTTCAGACCCAGAGAAGGGACCTTTAGACTTTTTTTTTTTCTTCGTTGGTCAATGACTGGACTGGGAGCCAGAATTTCTACATGTTTATTTCTGTCCCACACAAATTATTAGGCAACGTACTACACGGAAGGGAAAAATGGGACAGGAGCCCTGGGTCCTGTTCTCAGCTCTCTGTGTTGTTCTACCTTCTGGAGCTGCCAGATGGGATATCGATAATTCTGCCGTTGCTGTGGGCAGCTCCTGGTCAACGGCGTCCATACAATGGGGGTCTTAAAGTTGCCTGTAGCGGATGCTGTGTGACTGCTGCAAGGCCACAAGGAAAGAGCCGTAAGGAAACAAAGCTCCCAATGCTGAGCGTCTCGATGGGCAGAGACGAGAGAGACGCCCTGGAAGGAGCCGGTGTCTCCAAAACAGGCCAAAGTAGCAGCGGCTTAGCCCAAGAGAGGAAAGCGCAATATTAGCCTTCAAACACACGTAGGGCAGCTCCGGAGAGGAAAGATGCTGTTCCCTGTGTCCAGAGGGAGAATGAGAAGCCCTGGGCTTAATTTACAATGGAAGAAATTTCGCTTAAACACGAGTCTCCAGCTGGGAAGGGTGAGGAAGCAGGGACAGTTTCTCTAGGGGAGCAGTAGAAGGGTTGTCATCGGAGGTCTCTAGAAAAAAGGCAGAGACTTCTGCTGAAACGGTTTGGCTGCTCGGTGTGGGGAGGGGAGGTGGGCACCACGGCCCCTTCAGGCCTTCCCAGCCATCTGCGCTGTAACCCTGTGTGCAGAAAAACGGTGGTGAAGGAAAAGCGAAGACCAGGGTAGCACAGGGTAAAAGAGGGCTGGTAGGAAACACCTACCGGAACATCTTGAGATGTTCCTGGTGGAGTCTTCACGCTCCTCTTCTCAACTCCTCCGTGTTCCTACCAGAACGGGACGTGTCAGTACAACGCTTCCACAAGAGCTGCCACTTGCTCCAAGTACGTCGAGCTCCCGTACGCCGATGAAGCAGCCCTGAAAGACGCTGTAGCCAACATCGGACCAGTTTCTGTCGCCATCGACGCCACCCAGCCCACCTTCTTCTTGTACAGGTCAGGTATGTCCTTCTACCCCGGTGATCTCCTTCACAGTCTCCTGTCTTTCTGCATGTAAAGCTTATGAAATTTGGTGGAATGTGGCAAGTTGGGGTTTAATTCCCGGATGAAGGCATCGATATGACAAAAACCTAAGAAAGCGGCATTAGTGACAGTGCTGGGGGTCGAATTCAGTCCCGCCGGCGACCCACTGGCGAGGTCTTGCAGTTGGAGGACACGCTTCCAGGCTCCTTTTCTTCCAGGTGTCTACGACGACCCGCGGTGCACACAGAACATCAACCACGGAGTGCTTGTCGTCGGCTACGGCACCCTGAACGATAAGGATTACTGGCTCGTGAAGAACAGGTAGGGGCACAGCCGCGTGTCGCCGAGCCCTCGTCGCCCAAGCGCTCGCTGTCGGCAGGGCTATGCCCCCCCCCCCGGGTAACCGCCCCCGCTCAGACCGGCGACCTGGCGGTTGTACAACGACCGAGATTTATACGGATGAGAGGGAGCTCGGCTGGGGGCTTGTGTAACGGGGGCTGTTATAGGGCTGGAAGTTGGCATTGCCCTTAACTATTCCCTACGGATTCACGCTTGGCCACGTCAAAGCAGCTTTACGTCATGCCAGCGGCGTGAAGGAACGTTAAATGCATTTAAAATACACTCACAGCCACCTTAAGGTCCCTTTACCTTGAGGAGCGTTGTCACGACTTAATACAGGATTTCATTTTTCTCCTCGCTGTCCATTTGTTTCCTGTCCCGAAAGCTGGGGCGTGCGTTTTGGCGACGAGGGCTACATCCGCATGGTACGAAACCACGCGAACCACTGCGGGATTGCCAGCTACCCCTCCTACCCGCTGATCTAGACGGAGCCCGTGCTGCAGCGAGGACGCCGAGGCTTCCGTTGAACCCCTGATGCTACGCTTGCATGGATCCACTGCCTCCAAGAATCATTTTCTGGCTCTGTGGGCAAAGTCCCTCTGTCAGACCAGCCCACCTGACGGGCTGGGAGGGAGCCCTCTGCGTGGGAAGATTTCGGAATGTGATTTACAGGCGCTTAGTGACTCCTTTTTGGGGGGGGGGAAAGGGGTTTGGTTTTTTTTCAGAGCAAAATTGCGATGCCTACAGTTACGATGGAGATGACGCTCCCCTCTCTCCAGTTGAGCATCGCTACGATGACACGGGCACCATTTCAGCGCCGTGTGATGTTGATGAAACTGCAGTGTTCCTTTGGAAAATAAAAGATCCGTTTCACTGTGCAAAAATCCCGTGTTTCGGTCTCTGTAGGTAGGAATGGGTGGCGGGGGGAATTCCGGGCCGGTAGTTCCTCCCCCGCCTCGGAACCCCTTACCAAGCCCCTCCACAAACGCCATTTCTCTCCCAGCTGTGATTTGGGAACGGAGGACGTAGACCATGGCACTGCTGCCAGAAGCGCAAGGAGGGAATGTCGCTGATAGCCACAGTTTCACGGCCTAACGTCTCTGATGATGATGATGATGATGATGATACCGAAATAGAGATGCTGTCACTGGCACCCACGCAACACAACCCCTCATCAACCCCAGCGCCCCTTTCCAACAGGGATGGTAAAATCAATCCCGAAGGAGAAAGGGCTTCCTGTTAAAGCTTTTGGTTGGGATTTGCGCGTTTGCCGACCCTTTCTCTTTACATTTATTTATTTACTACAAGCTTTAAAAAAAAAAAAAGTCTTGCAGTTTGTGTCAGCGCACAGCTTAGAGGATAACGTTTGGATTTGGTTGGGCGCTGGGCTGGCCTGAGGTGCCACTGCCCCCTCGGGGGTGACGGGGGAACTGAACGAGTCCCCATCTGCAAGGTGGTGGCACCTTGAGAACGCTCCCATCGCCCTTAGAAATCGTCGCCCTTCAGAAATCGTCACCCTTCAGAAATCATCCCCTTGGCGGTTGGGGTTGCGCTCTCCAGACGGGCTGTCGCTGGGTTCGTTCCAGCCTCGTGCCAACGCGTTGCTTAAAACCCTGTCGCCCGCCGCCGCCTCCTTTCCAAGCACGGAGAGCTCGGCAGACCCGTGAGCGCCTACAGCTCCAGCGCCATCCTTGGAAGGGGAGCAAAACCCCATCGCAGCTTCGGCAAAACCAGCGACGAGCTGATGGGCCAAGAGCCTCACGCCACCAAGGAAAAAGAAAACAAAAAAATATTTTGACTTAACACAAACATGAACTGGGGGGCTCTGGAGGGTACGGGGGAGCATGGGGAGGGTTCTCCCAGGTACTGGGTGGGTGTAGGCGGCACTGGGAGGGTCTTGAGTGGCTCTTGGGGGTCCTGAAGGTCTTTAGGGTCTACTTGGGTGCTCTCAGCAGGGTTACTGGGAGGTTCTGGGACGGCCCCGGGAGCTCATTCTGGAGGCTTGGGGGTGCTCTGAGGACATAGCGGGGCGCTTGGGGGCTCCTTGGGGGCTTTGGAGGGTACGGGAGGGTTCTGGGAGGGTATTTGGGATACTGGGGGGGGCCTTGGGGGCTCTGGTGGGTCCTGAGGGGGCTCT